TGTCACTCTTCACCCAGTAGCGCGGTATATCACGATTGTACGTGGCGTATTACGGTTTCGTTGTCACATTGACCTCAGTCATTCATTCGAGTGATTCATAGTGTTGACAGGCGGGAAGAGAGACATTACAATTCGGGAAAGTTTTACTTCTTTTTTGCTTGCTAATAGTAAGATGTCATGGCCATAAAGGCCGCAAGACCGCATGCACAATCCAACCTCCCTTGAGATCGAGGCGCAAACCGTGAGTTCAGAAGCAACGGCGGTGGTGACTGGTTTTGTTCAATTCATATCTTTGGATTCTTGCTCCTGTATGCTTGCTCGTGCTGTAAAACAGCGGTCTGAACTGGAATCAGTTCTCTTACCAGTTGAGAACAGTGTTGATCAGGGCTATCTTTGTAGATGTTCTCACAGGTGCAGCAACAAGAGCTTTCGTTGCCCACGGTTTCAGAAACTAAACAATCATAAAACTCTAACCTTTGAAAGTATATTCCATCATAAAACCTAATAATTGTCTTCACTGGAAATGTTGGAACTTGACGTGGTAATAACACCTAGTATGTACGAAAGAGTCTCTGGAGAGACCTGAACAGTGTTCATTACAGTGGTGTGAACTCGTAATGAGCTGGCATACTTACGCCAGTCTTCGGATGAGTAGCTACATTGATAGCATCTATGCGAGTCTTAGCTTCGTTGGCCATATTTCTTAAAGTATTCTCAAACAGGTGATGCAGTACAACCACACCAAGGTAATTGTGAAGTGGATCATGATTGTCGACCATTGCGTTATTCGTGAGGGCATTTCGATCTGAAAATTGAATAACAATCATGAATTAATCACTCCAGTAGCGATAATATTCGCTGATCAAGCGCTCAAGTTCTTATTGATTTCCAAACAAGGTATCAACAACTTCTCACTTCGCCATTGTACATCCATTCTACCACCTTCATGACCAAATCAGGCCTGAAGCCTCGCACGTCTATTCGAAGTGGAGTATTTCGGGTTTCCATGATCTAAACCGAGAGGAAATCAGTGACCTTCACAGAGTTTATTGTGCCACATCTTCTCGACCAGAATCCCCAACAATTATACTGCCCGGCTTTGGCGTGCTTATTTTATCATGTCGACCCCGTACATAACCATGTAATAAACATCAACGTACCTGTTGTGTGCAATGCTGAATATAGAGTTCCTGGTGACAATTTCATATCCCACATCTTCTTCAATCGAAGCTTTTGCCTTACTGACGTCGCTATAGTTCCTAAGCTCTTCACAGGATCGGACCAGTAACTCTGCCATTACGTTTTTGATGCGAGAAGAAATAGCCGCAAAGTTCAAGAAGCCTCGAGACCGTCATCAAATGGGAACACATCACTTATTTCGCTGGGCTCTGGGAGGTTATCAACAACATTGACAAGGAATACGTACAGCTCAGTGAACATCTTAACGACTGTACAAAGAGAGAGCTTTAAGATTACCAAGCAGCGTTTATATCTGGAAACTCTCAAGCTAATTTACCACCGTGGAGTCGAACGAACAGCAGGGATCTGCCAGCTGACGTCGGAGCTTGCGATGCTGTGCAGAGAAGAGATCAAGGATGGCCTGAAGGAGAGAAAAGCAGCAGTGCCGTTTAACGACAGAGGCTGAGAAGAGTATACGCAACGTGCGCCGCGAATTCACGAACTGTGGGACCAGGATGACAAGCCTCTGACGTCCAGATTTAATTAGCACTGCATCCCGAAAGGCAGCGGAAAAGGTCATCTACGCCTTCCCATCTGATCTTCTGACAGCTACGTCCATTTGCAACCATACCGCTGGGAGCAGGATAGCTACTCGTTCCTCTAGTTCTGCCTTCCGGCGTTCGACACGCCACGAGCACCACATGTTTGCAATTATCCCCCAGTCTGCCTGCTGTCTCCAGTCCGAACTCTACACACTAGTTATCCTGAGCAGGGCTTACAGAACCTCATACGAAAGACAGCCATACGAGCAGCAGGATTCCACGGAGGATTCAGCACGATCGAGCACAACCACCGACTTTGGAGGCGGGTCATCGAAGCATTGCGAGACTACATAATACCGGTACGCCTTACGTTTAACGACTTGAAGGCACGGTCCGCGATAAAAAGTCTAGGCGATTTCGCAGATATGTGGAAGCAAATTCGCAGTGAAACATCTATGAAGAGAAAATGCCAAAGGGAACGTTGGAAACGCATTCGTCAGGCCTCCTCTAGCCTCAAACAACTGTAGAGGTAAAAGACCGAAAAGACCGCGCGCTGGGACAATTCCCGTCGGCTGATTCCCAGTAATGAACCCTATGACTCTACAAGAGACACTGAATGCATCCACTCCATGATACTTGCCCGGGAGCATTACTTTTGGCTGGAAGGCCGACTTTGGAGGCGAGTCTGGAGGCGGAGTCACTGGAAAAGGGATGTACCACTGAAGCAACTTTGCGCCTTAATCCCTTTACCGTACAACTTTCCGCCGCGAAACTGGCACAGGGTTGTCCACTCCGGACCGCACTACCTTCCCACATACCCTCTTGCATTTTCATAGGTCATCGCGGACCGCTCCTTTAAGGAAAGCTTCGACTGTTGAGACGAAAGCGGTTATCAAAGCTCTGGCAACCGGAGTGTTCCTGCTCAATACATCAGGTATCATCGTGCAGCAACTTCACGACCAAGCTCACCTATTACAAGGGGATTATCATTGACGCAGAAGTCCGACAATGCGACACCATCTCGCTTACGCTCTTTAGCGCCTCTCTCGAGAACTTCATGCGTCGACTGGAATAGGAAACCATGGAGCAAAGATCGAAGGCCGACAACTGCGTCACCTCCGCTTTGCTAACGATATCGCTCTGATAACAACAAACATGGAGCAAGCGCTGGCTGAATTCGACTGCGTGCGTGGAAAAACCAACTTGCAGCTGAATCTGACGAGACGATATTCGCGAAGAAGTAGCTGGTTTCTGATGCTACATTCATGCTCGGAACGATCTTCTCTAAATGCTCTAGCTATGTGTACCTAGGTCGGGAAATCAGTATGACTTAGCAGATCAGAGCAGGAGGAAGCGAGCCTGGGCAGTCTTCAAGAACATTGAAGGAGCAGTGAAGAGGACAAAGAATGCCCGACTTCCTGTCTATTCGGCGGTCCTTCCTGCTTTAGTTTGCTCCACGGAGACTTGGATCCACAAAGGCAGGATGAATATGCGGCTAGCTTCATTCAGCGCGCCATGCGAAGAGTGATGCTCGGAGTTTCTCAAGTATCCAGTCCTGCGCTCTTCGTCGACGATCAATGATCAGAAAAGCAGCCACCTCTGTCAACGTATCGAAGATCAGGTGCGCCGGCTACGTCATACTTTCAAAGGTAGCCGGTGGTCCAGAGCGATTACCGACTGGATTCCACGCGATGTCAAACGAACTCCTACAACCGCGATGTTTTTCGTCGTGTCTATAAAGCACAGAGAACCCACTGGGCAACCCGAGCACGCTGCACGGACGAGTGGACAGGTTACATGCCCCAGCAACTCGATGATCGACGGGAGCACAGGTTATATAGATGCTGATTATTTTGTAGCAATATGCACCTCCTCTACCTCCTCTAGCAGCATAGGCTACCAATACGTTGATTAATCGATTACGGTAGCGTAATTGTAAGGTACACTCTACTTCGCTGCGGACGGTTGGTGCGTGTCAGCCAGTATGAGTGTGTCACCCCTTCAAAGCCGTTCTCTGCCTTCTTGTTGAAACGCGCATGCGACAAAAAGTGGTAGAAAACGAGTAATACGAAGGATATGATACAGTATTGTCACTTGCCCGCTTCAACAACTGGTGGAGAACGAGTTTGGCACCGCGCCAAACGCAGCCGCACTGACACGCCCAACCGTCCGCAGTGAACTACACTATATAAACACAGGTTCACCAAAGATCAGTTGTTTATGTTCAGCGCTCACCACGCTTTTGATTATCTACCATTTGCTGGATGTACGGAGAACAGAGCGGTCGAAAGCCTTTTATTGGTAACAGAACTAATGAGTTGAAATGAATTACAGTGAAGTAGTTTTATCGCTACCAGTGGGAGCGCCCGGTTGAAACTGAGCTCTCCTCCTTATCTTTGGCTGACTTAGCTTTTAATGGGAACGGAGTTGGTTCATTCACCTAGCTACTCATAATCCGCTCTTTTTATCGAATCGTAATAGATGGAGCAACCCACGAGCGAGCTCACGTCCAGCTGCCACGCGAGCAGCTTGAGCAATGGCTTGGGGTGTACTAAATGGTTGTCTTGTATAGGGTGAGGGTATTATCACAATCAGAACATCTTAATTTACTCGATTATGGATTACCTTGCAGTTTTGCTAGCGGTTGTATCCTCCACTCCTACTATTATCCTACTCAAGCGTGCGCCACCCCCCCCCCTCCTCACCGTACCCCCTTCCCTCTGCTTCCTTCACCTGCACATGCTCATGCTCGGCTGAGCACGTGCAGGTGAAGGAAGCAGAGGGGAGGATCCCCTCGGTTCCATCCCACCACGCCCCCGCACGAGCTCACATCCAGCTGCCTTGCCAGCAGACATACATACTTACAGACCGACAAACCGACACACAAAACTTCTGCTTTATAGAATAAGAATAAAAGATTGTACGGCACTTTTCATATATTCGATGCTATGTTGAGGCGCCTATGATCGTGTTATGACGACATTTCGGCTAACAAGGATATTTATCGGACACCCGGGGTAATGGTGGTTCAGACAAGTAGCGGTTCTTCAGAATCTCTGCTCACTGAACTGCAACTTGTAAGGCTCCTATAAAACTAAGAGTAATACAGTTTCACACCTGATCGATGATAGCAAAAATGAAGCAGGACATTTTGCATGTGAACAAGATGTGGAACAATTTCGCAATAGCCTAATCGTTGTGCAGGAGGCTAGTAGCTGTGAGACGTTGTCGAGGGCATTGCTAAACAGCATGGGGGAAACTAAGCATGGGGCATTAACGTCACGACCGCGCGCATTTATTCCTTCTGACATCGATTTGAAATGAACTCGGGCACTCCACATGAGAAAAACTGTTGTTGAGCAGTCGATTCAACCTGGGTGTAAATCGCATTGATCTGTAGACACCAACCTTAGCAATTTTTTTGCAATGGCCAGCTGCAACTGCTGAGTGTACGTTTTCGCTTCCAGCATCGGTTAAAAGTTCAACGTCGCAGTGACTGCAAAGAAACCTAAGACTTTAGGCTAACTTTATGCGTCACAAATAGCATTACCGATAATCTCCGTTTTGACGCAGTTGCCTCAAGTAGAGAGCTGGTTGCTTGAAGTGTGATGGGGAATCATCCAGCTTATACATAACCTTCGTTCTTTAAACAATGAATGAACAGGATGGATCCAGAAGAACTGAAGACATGCAGTTGTACGGCTAAGATGGCTGACCTGGTCTTCAAGCCAATGCAGTCTGCCTCCCGTTCAATTGACTCGCACATCTGGTTCTAAGGAATAAAATGAAACACTCCGCACTCACCTCCACTAATATCACTTCACGTATTACTGTACTCATT